AGTGAGACCTTGCCCTTTCCAATTGCCGGCTCTCTGGTGAGATTGAAGAAGTGACCTACCCACCACCGGCCTTTATTACCATACAGACGGGAAGGGTACAACGGTGACCCCAATAACAATGCGATGTCTCTTATATATGAAGCCACTCAAATATCAGAACCCTATGGCTCGCCATAAAGTGTCGGTAAATGAAATATGAGCAAGTATATTGGTGATAATATGTTTTATGTCTTTTTTCATGACTTGGTTTATTGTTTTACAGTAGCATTCAGTCACAGCTGGCGCCTTGCTCTTATTGATATAACTTTATTCGTATATTTTTCATCGTAGTTTCTGTACAAAGATTTTCGATAGTGAATTTCGCAAGAAAGTTGTTGCAGGTGTAACCCTCCAACATGGCGGACAATACCGGTCTACGTCACAATCACGTGAGGGCAAAAAAAAACGCACAAAAGGCAGTATAGACTGCTTGACGCCAATTGGGGTGACCGCCTTCGTATATTTTCTGGTCTTACGATGCCCCTATCAGGGCTAGGTCGAACCAAGTCGTTGGCAATTCCACCGGATTGGTTCAGGTTGGCTGCACAGAAATCTGGTTTGGCTTCTCGCACAATTTCTTTCTGCACTATTGGCACGTTCTGTTCGTCTGGAATTAACCCCGCCCCCAGCAGACATGACCTTGCCTGTCCCTGCTGTTACAGTGGATAATTCGCTTACCAAGGCTTGTCAGTCGAAGAAAACGTGGTAAGATTGCACTGCAAACGATTTCGGCGGCAATCCGCCCCAATGCGGGTATCTGAAATTGCTATAATTCTAAACGGCCGAGCTGGAAGAATTGGAGGCAATGGAGGTCATGAAGGTTATTCTTTTGTCATTCTAGTGACGCTTTTCTGCCAACTTTCTTCTGCATTTCGTTTAGCAATTTTAACTTTTCACCGATCTTTTTTTTTCGTGCTCTCTTCTTGTTTCTTTGTTGAGATACTGACCATGCTGGATAAACAAGTAAAGAGAAACTTTCGGATTCTGATTTGTTCCTATTTTTGAAATGTTTTGTGGCTTTTCATATTTCAAAGGCACCAAAGCTATTTTAGGCAGTAAACTGGGTACTCAAAGTCAATTTTCTGGTCATACTTTAATGTAGTAAGTTGAATCAACCCTATCATAGCATGCTGATATCTGTGAGGCACAGATGTGATATCGCTGGCGGAAAACGGTTGCTTGTTCCTAAAATAGGCACTCCTCGTGTGACTTATTTTTGAGCTGTTTCAACTCTTCAATGATGGCAATCATTCGCTACGAAATTGCAGCAAATGTTAATATCAGACAGATTTCCTCCAGAATATTTTTTTTAATTCGCCACGCTGAAATTTGCATTTAGAAACGCTGTTAGTAGTTATAAAAACAGTGTCAAAAATACCAGATAAAGAACCTCGCTGAGCCGGAAATTAAACGCTGGTAGCGTGCTGTTTATGAAACGCCAGAGCTGCCAGATAGAGGGAGAAGGTCTTGGTGATGTATATTGATGATATTTGCTGATTTCCTTGACAGATTTCCCACCTTCGCTGGAGATAAACCCGGTACGGTCGATAGCCCTCCCTCAGGGACACCAAACACCCCTGCTTATCACACAGTAACAGGCAAATCACATAGACAGGGGGGAAAATCAGCTACCGGCCACACTACGTCTTCTAACGTTAGATTGCAGCTAGACCATGGACGGCTGTTGTATTATCAACATTATGGAGTTAACATCGAAATTTTTACCCGAACATTCCTGTGTTCCGTAAATTGCCTGCAGGTACATCTGTTTCTCATAGCATCATGGCAGTTAGCATATCATACATACCGGCCACACTACCTCTTCTGAGATTAGATTGCAGCTATACCATGGGTGACTGTTGTATTATCAACGTTATGGAGTTAACATCCAGATTTTTTATCCGAACATTGTCATGTAAAGTTCAATAAATTGCCTTCAGGTACATTTCTTTCTCATAGCATCGTGGCACTAGGCATATCATACGGACATGGAGTAAAGTCAGGTACCGGCCACACAACCTCATATGAGGTTAGATTGCTGCTAGACCATGCATGACTGTTGTACAATCAACGTTATGGAATTTACATCGAGATGTTTTGCCCAAAAATTGTTATGTGAACTTCCGTAAATTGCCTAATAGTATATGTACATCTGTTTCTCATAGCATCGTGGCAATGAGCAAAATCATACACACGGCGGTCTGTCACTACGGCATTCTTTCCCATTGCTGGGGGCGTTCGATAAAGTGTCGGGTTACAAGACGCAATTTTGGGCTAACCGTAAAACATTTGAAAATAAACAAACTAGTATCGAAGGGAAAATTTCGTTGAAATAAAATAAAATTATCGTCTTTACATATATTCAATGGTGCTTTTTGCGCTAAAAGGATGATTTTTTCGGATTTCGTTAAAAAAGTCGATAATTTATGGAATTTCGGTGCGCCATATTTTAGCCAATCACCGAGCAAACCTGGCTACACATATTACGCAAGGTCACTGATTTTTATATTTTTCGACGACCAGGAACAAGATGAAAAATCGTGCTTTTGGGATTTTTTAATTTCTGACTTAAAGTATAGTTTTTGTCGACAAATAGGTGAAAAAATCGATTTTTTTTGCTTTTTTCGCACTCAATTACCCATAATTCAAAATCAAGAGCATTTTTCAAAAATCCCTAAAGCACGATTTTCGGGACAACCGTGACAGTTATTTTGACCCGTAAATGGGGTATGTTTGACTCTCCATGCTTCCAGGTTTGAACGAGTTTTGCAGACATGTCATATCTCCCAAACGTGTGCATTGTGTTATTCATACAGGTGTAAAGAATTATTACAGTATTCAAGGTTACCCAAGGATACGACAATAGCTTCGCTACATGTTACATACCCACCAAAAATTATAGCGGACATGTACTGTCCTGGAAACTGTTTGTATCTATAGAAAAGTGTTGTTTTTTATCTGTTGCGAGGCACTCAGGCAGAAGGGCTTGTTTTGCCGCTTTATTGTAAATGACCGCAGGTGATCCCGAAATGGAACGCGGGTTCGATTCGAATTGCCCAGATCGAACACGATCGAACACAGTTCGGATTCTATGAAATGTGGGAACTTTGCAGCCCAGATTTGACCACCGTGACATACCGGCCACACTACCTCTTCTGAGATAAGATTGCAGCTAGACCATGGATGGCTGTTGTACTATCAACGTCATGAAGTTTACATCGAGATTCTTTACCCAAAAAATTGTTACGTTAAGTTCCGTAAATTGCCTTCAGGTACATTTCTTTCTCATAGCATCGTTGCAGTAGGCATATCATACAGATATGGGGTAAAGTCAGGTACCGGCCATACAACGTCTTGTGGTTTTAGATTACAGCTAGACCATAGGTAAATGTTCTGTTTTCAACGTTACGGAGTTTACATCCAAATTTTTACACAAATTATACAACCGGGAACTACTTCTATAATAGACCTACTTGAATCTCACTGCAACAGACATACCACACAAATATGGGCTATGATCAACTATCGTCCACACATCATCATAGCTTATCGCCAATCCACTCCAGCCAGTTCCGCGCTGCTTCATTGGCCTCCTGGAGATCTGTGTCTGTGCAGGTAGGACCAAGCCTGCAGCCGTGCATCAGGTGCTGGATGGTCTGAGGGTCCTCTCCGCAGCTGCAGGTTGTACTGGTGGACTTGCCCCACCGTGCCAGGTTGTCCCCTGTCCTGGCCACCTTAGCCCTTGCCCGGTTCAGGGCCACCCAGTCCCTTCTGCGCAAGTCTGTCCCTGGGGGCAGTGTCTCGCTGGGGGGAGGGAGTGCCCTGTTGTTACTTGGGTGACTCTCCTTCCACAGCTCTACCCTGAGGGTCGCTGGTGTCATACCCCCGAGGCGTCGGGCCGTCATGAAGCTGCGACGGGATTTCAGACGTCGGGGGACCTCCTGGTGTCCGTATAACGGGTGCCTAGGATCACTGAGCTGCTTTTCTCGCTCTGTCCTTGTCTGGACATCTCGTCGGATGCCAGGTGGGCAGATACTTGCCAGTGTGTGCAGTGCTGACAGGGGGGTAGCCATCAGGTTACCGGTGATTGAGCGGCAGGCTCTATTCAGCTCCACATCAACCTTGGAAGCGTGGGGTGACCTCTCCCATACTGCGGCGCAGTACTCAGCAGTGGAGTAGCACAAAGCCAGTGCTGTCTGCTTGAGGGTGTTGGGGTCCGCTCCCCAGCTGGAGTTTACCAGGTTGTAGAGAAGGCTGTTACGGGCAGACACCTTCTTCCTTAGCTTGGTGACGTGCTCTCTGAAGGACAGAGTCCTGTCAAGGGTGACACCAAGGTACACTGGGTGTGGGGTGTTTTCGAGTTCTTTTCCCTCCCAGGTGATTCTGAGTTTTCTCGATGCTGCATGGTTATTGAGGTGGAATGCGCAGACCTGGGTCTTCCCCGGGTTGGCGTTCAGGAACCACGTTCTGTAGTACCCTGATAAGGACTCCAGGGCGTCTTCAAGTCGCTTCTCAATGACTTTAAAGCTTTTCGACTGGGTTGCCAGGCAGAGGTCATCTGCGTAGATGAACCTCCGGATGTTGTTGAAAGTCGGCTGGTCATTGGTATATATGTTGAAGAGCATCGGAGCTAACACTGAACCCTGGGGTAGGCCATTCTTCTGTGTTCTCCACCTACTGCGTTTTCCGTCCATTTCAACAAAGAATCGTCCACACAAAACGTCCTCAAGTACTGGATTTATAGCTCAGACCAAGGGTGATAGTAGTAGTAGTACGTAGAGACTGCGTTATAAAGTTTAAAGGGAATTCTATAAACTCACGTAATAGAGCTGTCGTGAAGAAGCATGACAATAACACACGTGTGGGAGATTGTTCACGTCTGATCAGAAGATGCTTTGATAGTAAAGTAATAAAATTTACATTGAGACTTCATTCTTAATCATATGCCCAAGCAGTATCCTGGATAACTTTATTAGATTTCATGGAAAAGCAGTGAGACATTACACAACGTCTCTTCCAGCATATGAGCAGTTTTCCAGATGTCATTTTGTATTGAACCATGTAGGGATCATAATTTCATCTAGTGCATAAACATTGTATAGCACAAGGAGGTTCTTAAACATAGAATGGTATTCATATAATGTCATAAAAACCTTAAATCTTTTCTAGAATCCACTAATAATATAATATTTTACCTATGCTCTTATACAGAAGGCACACGATTTAATCGTTTGTTAGTGCATTATTTTAAGGAGTATGCAATATTTGTGATGTAACATGTAATAGATAACTGAAGTGCTATCTTTGACATTTATCCGTCAGTTAAAATACAACAATAAACGAAAGATAACATATTTATCACGCTAACAACAACAAAGTGAAACTTAGCAACAAAGTAAACAAAACTTAGCAACAACCACGTAAACAATAGGCACCAAATATTAGCAAATAAGGTATTGTTTCACCAAAACCCACAACCTTTTTAAGTGAATTAAGTTATAAAACAAATGATGGGAATAATAATGGGCCCGAAATACGGGGCAGTTAAAGTTAAACGTTGACCCTAAACTTTTACTTCAGGGCTTGTTGCACAGGAAGTGAATCTCGACCGGACTTTCGGGAACATCCAGGGCCTGTATGTTAGTAAACCCCGCCTCCTGAAGCATCTGTTCCTGCGACTCCTGCCCCCACACGGTGCCGAGACCCTTCCCGTCGAAATACAGAGACACCGGCATGCAGTGGAGCAGGCTGACGCCGTACAACAGGGGAGCGACGGGGTTCCCCATGTTGTCTGCCAGGCCAGAACGCGCCTTGATGTCGCACATAGAGAAGCGGCCTCCCGGCTTGACCATGCGGTAGATTTCCCGCAGGGCCATCTCCGGGTCTGCCTGGTCGTGGATCACATCCCACACGAGAACGTAATCAAAGGAATCTGACCAATCAGCGGGCATCTTGGCCACGTCCTGCACCTGGAAAGTGACGTTAGCCAATCCGCGCTCTTTGCTTTTAGCGCCAGCCCATTGGATGGCCTCCTCGCTGATGTCGGTGCCGAAAAAGGTGCTTTTGGGGAAATTTTCGGCCAGGATTAGAGCAGCGATGCCTCTGCCGCAACCAGCATCAAGAACCTTGATGCCAGATTCTGGTGGGGCAAACATATAGACGTACAATGTAATTCTAGCACGTTGATTGGGCAAAATGGACTAACCTTATTAAGCCCGCGGATGATTGATTGATTATGGGCCGCTAACAACCAAACAATTTCTAGGAGATATTATGGTACCTAAAACTATTATTAAAGCGACATCATGCATGTAAGATGTTATAAACCTCGTCGTTTTACATATTAAATAAATCTGTAGTTTAACTAATAGTAGTCAGTTCTTTAGATGGCCAAAGAATGCCTTACCAAGTGCTTCAATGAGTCCAGGGATCGTCGGCAAAAACTTGCCCACAAGGTGCTTGTGTTGATGCACCCTGATGCCGGCCATCCAGCCGTGAAAGTCGGGGTAGGCTGAATATGGCACACCTACGCAGAAGAAACATTACATGATTAAGCCTGTGTTTACGATCAATATATTGTGTGTGGGGTCGTGTGGCGAATCGACGGAGCCAAGAGGTCCCAAGTTTGAATCCTATCATGCCACCGATCTTGTGACCATTGCTTTGGGAACACTTAACATGAATTGTCTCAACTAACTTGGGTGAAAATGAGTATGTCCGTTGTCCGTCCGTTGGCGTCGGTGGCTTTATAAGAATAAGTTTAAAAAAACGAGAGTGTGCCGTCGCCATGTCTTGTAATAAATGTTGGAATGAAAAAGTCTATACGTTGCACCATTTTGCCGTGAAGTTTTGATTAAAGTTAAAACCTTCTTCCGATCGAATCAGAGGTACCAGAAAGCCTGCATCGTCCTCCGTTCCATCTGTATACGGTTTTGATTAAAACGTAACTTTCAATAGAAGCTCACACTTTATTTCGAACAGATCAAAGTCTGTACTGTCCCCCGTCCCGCCCAACATATGATTGTGCACCTACCCTTTGGCCCATCTTTCTTGAAACAATCGGCCACGTCATCGGCTGCCATGGCTACCAGCTTGACGAACTCAGCCCAGTTTCCCATACTCGCCATTGCCGCGTCCGGTAACAGGATTTCAGCCCTGTGCTTGGGAAAGAAGTACGTCCCCTGCTCCTTGTCGTAGTCAACAATCCGAGCGGTCGCCATGACGGCCAGCCACTCACGGACATACCTGTCAATTTACAGATTGGAAAAATAGTTTCTGTATTTTAAGGCCACAGCAAGTAATTATTTTTCGCATTACTTTTCGATTGATTTGGGGAAAAACAAGAAATGTTGTTGTCCTCTAGTCGACAGTGGTCAACATGCCGAGAATGGGCAAAGATGTCTGTTGCCCTGGCGAATATTATTTTTCCTACGACCTACCTACATTGTACATGCCAAATATCTTCAAAATCCATAAAGGCGTTCTGAAGTCATGCTAACTACAAATGTGCGGAAACACAAACACAGAGAGAGACCAAAAACATTACCTCCATTTTTCATGGAGGTAACATCATGGAGGTCATGAATAGCCTAAGGCATAACTAGTCTACAGGCATTATTCACCCCCAGATACAACAGAACAGCTCAACCGTGGTTCGGTAATCGGTAATGAGACCAGTCCAACAAGATTGCTGACGTTACCACCTTATTATTGTCAGTTCAGATATTCTCATATATCATGTCATATCTGTCATGTATACATACTGGGCCGGGTGCCCACATAGGTGGGGTACTGTCGATTCACGTGTTACCTTACAATCCCACAGGGTCGTTTGGTGTAGCGGCTCGACTCGGATAAAGAGGTCCCGGGTTCGAGTCCTGACATGCCACCGATCTCGTGTCCTTGGGAAAGGCACTTTACACGACTTTCCTCACTTAGCTGAGGTGAAAATGAGTACTAGTATTGTATTGTACCCTGTGTTGGTGGCGGCAATAATATAAGTTGACTTGAGTGTGCCCTCACCACGTCTTGCGATTATATGTTGGAATAAAAGAGTGAAGAAATGCTAACTAAATGCAACAATCTTTAGTCACCTCTCCTTCATGTTGGCCTTCTCTGCTATCTGCACGGATGTCTCCGGACCTTCCATTTCGGCGAGTTGCGCGATCAGACCCGTACGGGCTCCTATGGCGATCCCCAGGGACACAAATCCGGAGGAAACCACGTTTATCATCCTCAAGGCGAACTGTTCCGCCGTTTCTGGTGTAGCTTGCCCCTGTGCCATGTTGTATGCTCGAAGTGGTGCAAAGGGTTCAGGTAACCGAGTATAATGGGAGAGTGTCGGACGACTCGGACCATCACCAACTTGGCTCAGGCCAACCAATCAGAAGGCACAACGGTAATTGACTTGTTGACCGTCGAGTATACAAATTAATCTTGCTTATAACCTTCTTGTTAAAAGTTACACAGCAGTTTCGTTCAACAACAATAAGTATTGTATAGAAGCTAATCCATTGACTCCATATAGGTCCAAGATATGGTGTTATGTTCGTCGTTTGATGGTAATCTTCAAGCAGATTTGGTGGGGCAAGGGGACTTTATGTTGAACGCCTGTATCCATTGGCCGCCTGTTGTCAACGTTCGCGGGACGAACATAAAGTCCCCTTGCCCCACCGAATCTGCTTGGAGATTAGTTCCATGGCACAGCTCACGTCATCTTAAGCTTACATAATCTTGTAGCTATGCAGTCAGAATGCATTTCTTTGGAATCACTGCCTCTTTCTAAACGTCCGCGAGTCAGCAACGTACAAAGATTTTTAGATACTATGGCAGTAGTAGCTAATGGATTTCATATATGCTTGGCTAGCTTTAAAAACTACCTGTGTGTGGTGGTGGGAGGGGGTGTTCAGCTGCAGTACCGAGAAAAGCCACCAGGTAGCCCAAATTGACGACAACCTTTGACTTCCCACATATGCATACCAAATATGCCATATGAGCAGTTTTTCAAAAGTCATTTTGTATTCAACCACGTAGGGATCATAGTGTATACACATTGTATAGGAAAGGGTAGTTCTTACAAATATGATGGTACCCATATATTGCCTTATATAGAATTTGAAAATTAAGACAGTTTAGTATATAATTTTATTTGCTCTCTTCTACAAAAAGCACATGATTTAATTGTTTATTAGTGCATCACTTTAAGAAGTGTGTAATATGATGAAACATGTGATAGTCAACGGAAGTACAATCTTTGACATTGGCCCTTCAGTTTAAACAATAATCAAAAGGTGGCACAGATTATAACCCTAATTCCAACCATGTAAAACGTCGATAGTCACCAAGTAATAGCAAATAAGGTACTGTTTCACCAAAGCCCACTAGTGAATTAATCTACAAAATATTAGTCACAACAATAGGAATAGATTCCCACAATCAGAATAACATTTATGTTGCCACCCTAAAATTGTATTTAATCTAATAAAAGTGTTTAAAAAATAATGACCCTAAGGGGGGGGGGTAAAACGTCGACCCAAAATTTCAGGGCTTGTTGCACAAGAAGTGAATCTCGACCGGACTTTCGGGAATATCCAGTGCCTGTATGTTAGTAAACCCCGACTCCTGAAGCATCTGTTCCTGCGACTCCTTCCCCCACACGGTACCCAGACCCTTCCCGTCAAAATACAGAGACACCGGCATGCAGTGGAGCAGGCTGACGCCGTACAACAGGGGAGCGACGGGGTTCCCCATGTTGTCTGCCAGGCTAGAACGCGCCTTGATGTCGCACATAGAGAAGCGGCCTCCCGGCTTGACCATGCGGTAGATTTCCCGCAGGGCCATCTCCGGGTCTGCCTGGTCGTGGATCACATCCCACACGAGAACGTAATCAAAGGAATCTGACCAATCAGCGGGCATCTTGGCCACGTCCTGCACCTGGAAAGTGACGTTAGCCAATCCGCGCTCTTTGCTTTTAGCGTCAGCCCATTGGATGGCCTCCTCGCTGATGTCGGTGCCGAAAAAGGTGCTTTTGGGGAAATTTTCGGCCAGGATTAGAGCAGCGATGCCTCTGCCGCAACCAGCGTCAAGAACCCTGATGCCAGACTCTGGTGGGGCAAACATATAGACGTACAATGTAATTCTAGCATGTTGATTGGGCAAACTGGACTAATCTAATGGGCCGTTAACACCCTAACCATTTCTACAAGATATTATTTGGTACCTTAAACTATTAACAAACTATTAAAGCGACATTATGCATGTAAGATATTTTAAACCTCGTTGTTTTTCTTGCGCTATAAGCCTACCTGGGTTCATTATGACATTTGGGCAGTAAAAGAGAATCAACGTCGTTGGAAGTTGCCCGAAACGATAACCACTGTTTGTTTACATTCTTTTTAGGAGCCTCCTAAAAATACAGCGGGTCTGATGCAACGTATTCTGCGCCGAGACACCGAAAAAGCGAAATAGCGACGCTAATATGTGAAAAGTTATTAAATATGACAATCAATTATATTTCCAGTTTTGGAATAAAATATCGCTTTAGCTTCTTGATTGACTGCTTGATTAAGTTGTACCAGTTAAAGTGGCCCTGTGGGCAGTATGCTCAATTAAATAAATCTGTAGTTTAACTAGTCAGTTCTTTAGATGGCAGAAGAATCCCTTACCAAGTGATTCAACAAGTCCAGGGATGGTCGGCAAAAACTTGCCCACAAGGTGCTTGTGCTGATGCACCCTGATGCCGGCCATCCAGCTGTGAAAGTTGGGGTAGGCTGAATATGGCACACCTACGCAGAATAAACATTACAGGATTAAGCCTGTGTTTACGATCAATATATTGTGTGTGGGGTCGTGTGGCGAATCGACGGAGCCAAGAGGTCCCAAGTTTGAATCCTATCATGCCACCGATCTTGTGACCATTGCTTTGAGACCACTTAACATGAATTGTCTCAACTAACTTGGGTGAAAATGAGTATGTCCGTTGCCCGTCCGTTGGCGTCGGTGGCTTTATAAGAATAAGTTTTAAAAACGAGAGTGTGCCGTCGCCATGTCTTGTAATAAAGGTTGGAATAAAAAAGTCTATACGTTGCACCATTTTGCCATGAAGTTTTGATTAAAGTTAAAACCTTCTTCCGATCGAATCAGAGGTACCAGAAAGCCTGCATCGTCCTCCGTTCCATCTGTATACAGTTTTGATTAAAACGTAACTTTCAATAGAAGCTCACACTTTATTTCGAACAGACCAAAGTCTGTACTGTCCCCCGTCCCGCCCAACATATGATTGTGCACCTACCCTTTGGTCCATCTTTCTTGAAACAATCGGCCACGTCATCGGCTGCCATGGCTACCAGCTTGACGAACTCAGCCCAGTTTCCCATACTCGCCATTGCCGCGTCCGGTAACAGGATTTCAGCCCTGTGCTTGGGAAAGAAGTACGTCCCCTGCTCCTTGTCGTAGTCAACAATCCGAGCGGTCGCCATGACGGCCAGCCACTCACGGACATACCTGTCAATTTACAGATTGGAAAAATAGTTTCTGTATTTTAAGGCCACAGCAAGTAATTATTTTTCGCATTACTTTTCGATTGATTTGGGGAAAAACAAGAAATGTTGTTGTCCTCTAGTCGACAGTGGTCAACATGCCGAGAATGGGCAAAGATGTCTGTTGCCCTGGCGAATATTATTTTTCCTACGACCTACCTACATTGTACATGCCAAATATCTTCAAAATCCATAAAGGCGTTCTGAAGTCATGCTAACTACAAATGTGCGGAAACACAAACACACAGAGACCAAAAACATTACCTCCATTTTTCATGGAGGTAACATCATGGAGGTCATGAATAGCCTAAGGCATAACTAGTCTACAGGCATTATTCACCCCCAGATACAACAGAACAGCTCAACCGTGGTTCGGTAATCGGTAATGAGACCAGTCCAACAAGATTGCTGACGTTACCACCTTATTATTGTCAGTTCAGATATTCTCATATATCATGTCATATCTGGCATGTATACATACTGGGCCGGGTGCCCACATGGGTGGGGTACTGTAGATTCACGTGTTACCTTACAATCCCACAGGGTCGTTTGGTGTAGCGGCTCGACTCGAAAAAAGAGGTCCCGGGTTCGAGTCCTGACATGCCACCGATCTTGTGTCCTTGGGAAAGGCACTTTACACGACTTTCCTCACTTAGCTCAGGTGAAAATGAGTACTAGTATTGTATTGTACCCTGTGTTGGTGGCGGCAATAATGTGCCGTCACCACGTCTTACGATTACATGTTGGAATAAAAGAGTGAAGAAATGCTAACTAAATGCAACAATCTTTAGTCACCTCTCCTTCATGTTGGCCTTCCCTGCTATCTGCACGGATGTCTCCGGACCTTCCATTTCGGAGAGTTGCGCGATCAGACCCGTACGGGCTCCTATGGCGATCCCCAGGGACACAAACCCGGAGGACACCACGTTTATCATCCTCAAGGCGAACTGTTCCGCCGTTTCTGGTGTAGCTTGCCCCTGTGCCATGCTGTATGCTCGAGGTGGTGCAAAGGGTCCAGGCAACCGGGTATAATGGAGAGTGTCGGACGACTCGGACCATCACCAACTCGGCCCAGGGCAACCAATCAGAAGGCACAACGGTAATTGACTTGTTGACCGTCGAGTATACAAATTAATCTTGCTTATCACCTACTTGTTAAAAGTCACACAGCAGTTTCTTTCAACAACAATAAATGTTGTATAGAAGCTAAACCATTGACTCCATGTAGATCCGATATATGGTGTTAGTCGTTTCATTGTAATCTCCAAGCAGATTCGGTGGGGCAAGGGGACTTTATGTTGACCGCCTGTATCCATTGGCCGCCTGTTTTCAACGTTCGCGGGACGAACATAAAGTCCCCTTGCCCCACCGAATCTGCTTGGAGATTAGTTCCATGGCACAGCTCATGTCATCTTGTATAATCTTGTATAACATAATCTTGTAGCTATGCAGTCAGACTGCATTTCTTTGAAATCACTGGCTTTTTTCTGAAAGTCCGCGAGTCAGCAACGTACAAAGATTTTAGAAACATGGCAGTAGTAGCTAATGGATTTCATATATGCTTGGCTAGCTTTAAAAACTACCTGTGTGTTGGTGGGAGGAGGGTGTTCAGCTGCAGTACCGAGAAAAGTTACCAGGTAGCCCAAATTGACCACAACCTTTGACTTACCACATATGCATGCCAAATATGCCATATGAGCAGTTTTTCAAATGTCATTTTGTATTGAACCACGTAGGGATCAGTGTACTACATTGTATAGGAAAGGGTAGTTCTTACAAATATGATGGTACCCATATATTGCCTTATATAGAATTTTAGAATTAAGACAGTTTAGTATATAATTTTATTTGCTCTCTTCTACAAAAGGCACATGATTTAATTGTTTATTAGTGCATCACTTTAAGAAGTGTGTAATATGATGAAACGTGATAGTCAACGGAAGTACAATCTTTGACATTGGCCCTTCAGTTTAAACAATAATCAAAAGGTGACACAGATTAAAACCCTAATTCCAACCATGTAAAACGTCGATAGTCACCAAGTAATAGCAAATAAGGTACTGTTTCACCAAAGCCCACTAGTGAATTAATCTACAAAATATTAGTCACAATAATAGGAATAGATTCCCACAATCAGAATAACATTTATGTTGCCACCCTAAAATTGTATTTAATCTAATAAAAGTGTTTAAAAAATAATGACCCTAAGGGGGGGGGGGGTAAAACGTCGACCCAAAATTTCAGGGCTTGTTGCACAAGAAGTGAATCTCGACCGGACTTTCGGGAACATCCAGGGCCTGTATGTTAGTAAACCCCGCCTCCTGAAGCATCTGTTCCTGCGACTCCTGCCCCCACACGGTGCCGAGACCCTTCCCGTCGAAATACAGAGACACCGGCATGCAGTGGAGCAGGCTGACGCCGTACAACAGGGGAGCGACGGGGTTCCCCATGTTGTCTGCCAGGCCAGAACGCGCCTTGATGTCGCACATAGAGAAGCGGCCTCCCGGCTTGACCATGCGGTAGATTTCCCGCAGGGCCATCTCCGGGTCTGCCTGGTCGTGGATCACGTCCCACACGAGAACGTAATCAAAGG